AAAATTAATAAAAGCTGCACGGAAGTGTCTGTAATCAGCTCTGTAGTGGAGGGAATCCTAAAATGAATAAACAGGGTGTGGGGCTAACATTTATTTGTCACTGAAGAATATTTCTATATATAATATTAAAATTTTGTCTGTCTATACATAACCAAAATAGTGTATTGGCGCCAGAAATATTAAATTCAGGTAACTTTAAAATGCAAGTAGTTACTCAAAGAATGCAAAATAAATCTGGATGTTTTGCAAGTGAATGATATTGTGAGATCTGCATTCATGCTGGAGTGAAAAAAATGATTTCTTCAAATTATTTAACTATTCAAGATTAATTATAGATTTAAACAATCAATCAAACCTTTTTTTAGACTGTGTGCAGAAGAGAGCCATAACTTAACAAAAAAAAGGTATTTGCTGCTGCAGTTTCCAAAGCAAGTTGCTTTTTACAGGGTAGAGTTACCTGCCTAATATTCTACTGGTTTTGAATTAAGAATTATTCTTTTGGACTGATCTTCAATCAAGGCTAGAGAGCTCTATCTGCTCTGCTATTTAACCAATAACTTATGGAGAGTAGAGATGGTAATTCTTTTACTTTCTTTATAGGGAAGGAGAATTGTTACATAAACTGTTGTAATATTTTAAGAAATTTTTAAAGCAGAAGTGTTAGATAAACCAAAAGTGTATCAGTGATATCCATATTTCTAATATGGTAAAGTGTCACTTAAAGAGAAACTATACTCTGGCTAACCTTCAACAAGTCAACATGATGAAAACCTTTAAGAAATTAATCATACTTTTCCCAAGTTTATTTGTGTGAAAGTGAATGCAATGAACTCAGCTGAAAATTGAACTTTCCACATCAACTTTGCTTTCTGCACCAATAACTATGCGATGAGCACATCCAAATTTCCACTTTCTCTGTATAGTTGCATAAGTGCTATATGCACACTTAGACGATCATGTCTCTTTTGATTCATGACTGACTAGGCAGAAGATTTTCCTGCAGTAGGCTGCCATTACTTTTTGTGATAGACTGTTTGCCAATCAAGGCTATAGAGCCCAGTCTATACTGTTATTCAACTCATAGCTGACGTGGGGGGGAGAAGAGATGAATTCATACCTTCCCCAAGGTTATTTGTGCATAAGTGAATGTAACGAACCTGACTGGAATACAAACTTGGCTCTCTTATTCCTCATTCTGAGCCATTACCCATTATACCACACTGCATGTCCTCTTTACAGAGTACTCTTTCTTAAATTTGGGCACAAAACAAAATGGCTACCATTTTTAACCTAATTTGCAGAAGGTAGCATAATTTGCAAGGAAGAAAATTGAATGAAAATCTTTTTTTAATTAATGCCGAAACTGTTGTAATGCTTTAAGAAATTTTTAAAGCAGAAGTGTTAGGTAAACCAAAAATGTATCAGTGATATACACATTTCTAACATGATGAAGTGTTACTTGAAGAGAAACTACACTCTGGCCAGCTTTTGACAAGTCAAAATGATGAAAATCTTTAAGAAATTCAGCATGAAAACTGCTGTAACTTAGAAAGGGTTACTGAATGAAGAATAACCAAAACGAAGGTTGGAAATGAAAAGATAATCTTTATAATGTCATCAAAATACAATATTCGCCAGCGGCATGAAGTAGGTAAATCACTGTTAGCGGTGGACTACTAAGACAGCATATTACCTGTCACTTACAATAGTGTCCAACATATTTATGAAGATTGGGACATATCCATTAGTGTTCATAGGTACAATATATAACACAAACAATGAATATCATTGTTGGATCATGTGGTGCAAGATGATCTCTTTGACTTCATGCCAGTGAATTTTTTTATGAATGTTCACCCAATACAAGACCCCAGAGCCACTCAAGGTAGAACATTACCTTGTAGTGCTGTATTAGCTTAAGAAAGGATAAGAAGGGAAGTTCTTGGGGCTATGCAGGAAAGATAACAACTGACTCTAGATTTGAAAAGATCAAGATTTAATTGGTGAATGAGTTCACTTGGAGACATTAAAAGTATAGGCTGGAAGTAAAAATTTAGAAAAAACCTGGCAACCCAATCCTAAACATTAAATAAGGGACAAACCTTTACTCCTGTTCAAAAGGCTGAGGAGGTGTAGTAACAGAAAATGGGGAAAAAATCATTTCACTCCAAGCAAGATGATAAAGCCATTAAGGGTTAGTGATAGAGAAAGAAACTGAGAAAACATTTTTTAGGATGAAGGACAATAAAAAGGACAGGATTCAAGGAGACAGAAGATGATGATTGACATTGCATTTAAATGTTTAAAGATCATAGTTGGCAAGAAAGTAAGAAGCTGGAAGAGAGTTCTATAGGTAAGAAGTGTGAGAGAAGAAACTATTAGCATAGAACTTACACTTAGCAATTGATACAATAAAATGACGAGACCTAACTACCAATCTAGTACTGCACTTAAATTCATGAAGTCAAGGTAGAAAAGAGGAAAGCTCATCAGAACAATATCCATAAGAATATTTAGAAAAAAGTCACAGGGAAACTATGTTACAGCAATGGGAAAATGACTGAAGCTGAGATGCCAGGTCTGGACCAATAACAATATAGATTCTTCTTTGGATGTTGTTAAGAATTTCTAAATACTTATCAGAAGCACCAGACCAGGTCTGGCAACAATATTTAATGCATGGATAGAAAAATGGTCTACTTATAAATGTTCATGTTAGATTCTGGTGAAAAGATTTGGCAGTGCAAAAGTGTCTGAAGCTGAGATGTCAGGTCAGGACCAATAGATTTTTTTTAGGATTTTGTCAAGAATTTCTATGTACATAGCAGAAGCATAATTTAAAAATGTAAAGTGTTTCAGGAAAATTTCAACTTCATTTACTCACAGAGTAAAAAAATAAAAAATAAAAACAAACTATTGCTTCTTATGATTTGAGGGAAGAATTTTGATATGACCTACAGTTTCATTCAAAAAATTGTGATTGAAGATGACTCAGAACATTCTGCTTACTTTTGAGTAACCTTTGATATTCTGTCATTCTTGAATCCATTTACCTCAGTTCCATCTTTCTTAACTGGATTAATTTGCAGTCAAAGAAGTCAGGAATAGAGATTATGACCAATAATTGAAAAAAGTGTTTTATTTTCTACTTAATAAGGGAATGTTTTTAAATAGAAACTATGCTAATAAAATACTAAACTGACAGATATTTGAAGAGGACAGTATTGCAGATTAAAAATCAACTTGATCATTTCAAAATAAGAATTATTAAACTCATTATGATCATTGTCTGATTATAGAAAGCAATTATGACAATCAGATTAATTTGAATGAAACTGTCAAAACTGAGATTGACACATCAACTAAATGGAATTATCACTTTCAAAGACAAGAAATCTTGAGAAGAAAATCAAGGCATTGGAAACAATTTTGCTCTTATTTGTTTCTCTATTTTTCTATTTTCATAATAACTGAACCAGAGTAGAACATAGATATATGAGGGATGCACAGAAATGAGTCAACTATTTAATATTAATGAACAGGTAACCTACCTAGGATAATGACACTGTAGCCCCATTTCAAATTACTCACCATAAGATCTCATGTACTTATTCAATATTCTTTCTACTTTGAAAAGATTCTACAAAGTGTAATACTGTGTGTGTAAAATAAAGGAGAATAAGTTAAGTATTAGGGAGAAAAAAAGGATCTCCTAACAAAAAACAACACAAACTCTTGGAAATATATTGTGTTTCTGAAATATGATATATTTGATAGGGTCAGTTGACAGTTACAAGTTCCCCCACCCACCAAAAAGGAAAAAGAAGCAGCATGTAGCAGTTGCCTTTTCATTGGCCCATGAATTGATGAATCAGCAATTAATGGGTACACAACATTTCCTGTTAAAAAAGAAGTTTCTTCCTCCAAAGTTCTCATGAGAATCTTTATTGTATAGGGTATGTGTCAGAAATATGGGAATAGTGAAGTTTCTCTCAGTTGCTATACCCTCTCTGTCACTGATTAGTATTTGGCAAAAATTTCACTATTGGGGACAATAAAAGTAGCCAATACATACCATATGCATTGTGCTATTTATTTCTACAAGAAAACGTTTCTACCAGGGAAAATATGGTTGCTTTGACTTTCAGTAAGAAACAGAGAGCTGAAGTCAGCTGTTAAGACTAATGCAAAAACACAACCAAGATTATCCACTATAGAACAATGACCATAGTTGCCAAACACCAGTTCAAGCCACATATGGTGCCATGACAATATTCCATTAAGATTGTCATTTGTTTCCTTGTTGCATTCTCCTTAATCCTAACCCCAGCCTGAAATTTCAGTTTTAATGGTGAATTAAGATTTGAGAATAGGGAAAAGTAACAAGGATCTAAAACTTTAGGGGACTGACAAATGTAGATGATACAATATTTTCATCCCCTCTCCAAAAAAAAAAAATTGCTTGAAATAGGAAGACTGGTTAGTCATGATATCCAAAATGGCTGGATATTTTATGATTGTTAGTTTAATCTTTCAATTCTCACTCCATTGAATGCCAGTTTTGTTTGATTTCAGATAGCATGTATAAAAATGTTTTTGAGTAATTTGATTTTGGAATGTGAATTGCTTTCAAGAGATTTACAACCAACTTTGAAACATTGGTGCCCAAATTTTATCTGAACTTCGCTCATGACTTCATGACTTCATGGTCATTGAGAGAAGTTCTCTCGACAAATGTTCACCTTTCCAGGCACATATGATGCATACTTTCTATGAATGCAATGGTCACTTAATACACAATCCCATTCAGTGACATTTCATTATTGACTGAGTAACCCCATGGGAGCGACTCTGTTTTCCATTTACAGTATCATTTTTTCTGATTGGTTGTCAAGTTATATCAATATTGTGTAACTAGATTTTGAGATCAAAATGGTTGAAGTTTTTTAGGTAGACTTCATATTTGAACCATTTTCTTGAACAATGAGTTTGTGGTCATATATTGAAACACTGGTTCTTGTATGATCACTGAAGTTAAGCAACATCGAGACTGGCCAGTATTTAAATGGGTGACTGCTTGGGAATACCAGATGCAGTAAGCTTGGATGTAAGGGTGGTGTAACAGCTTGGAATTTGAAATCAAAATTCAAATTCTAGTTGGGTTTATTATATTCACTTGTGTGCAAATACTCTTGGGAAAGGTATGAATCTGCTTCATCTTCCCCCAGCTATGGGTTCATTAGTAGGAATTATTTCAGTAAATCATCAATCATTTCCCAAAATTCTTACAGTCTAAAAATATTTTCTAGCTTTCATCATCCTTTGAGCTCCCTATGGTTGGTGGGAACTTCATTGACAATCCCTTTCCATACTGTTCAGTACTGCATTGCTGTCCCCAGATCTTCAATGTCCAACTCCTGTGTTCTGAGCTATGGTGTTTGGGAAAGTCACTTTTGTAGTTAGTGAACGTCATGTTAGTACTTTCAGGGACAAATATTGTATCACCTCTATCTTCAAGATCCCGAAGCCCCAGGCAGATGAGCTAAGAAACCAGTTGGAATCAGACTCCTCCCTGAGAGAATTTAGTAACACTCCAATAGATAATCTGATGGAAATATTGACCTTCTGAGTACATTCTTCCAACTAGTCTGATATATACCAACAGGAAAAAGGCTTGACTATGGGTTCACTGCTATCACCAGTGATGACAAACATATACATGGAATACTTCAAGGAAATGACTTTACAAACAGTACCACTAAAGCCAATAGTATGGCTGAGATATATAGATGACACATTCATACTATGGCTGCACTAGAAAGCTGTACAAAGACTGCTAGATTATGTGAACTCAAAAAGACCTTCAGTCCAGTTCATAATGGAAAAAGAAAATAATAATCAGCAAGCCTTCTTAGGTGTACCAATGACTTGCACAGAAAATGAGTTCAAAACATATGGTATCTCACTAGCCAACCTTCACCAGACAATACCTCAACTTTTTGTAGGCATGAGAGTCCAAGCTTGCCACCAAATGTACAGCTGAGATATGTAGATGACATCTTTATACTCTGGCATCACCAGGAAGCTGTACAAATACTACTGGACAATGAAAACTCAAGACTTTCGATCCAGTTCACAATGAAAGAAGAAATTAATAATCAGTAAGCTTATCTGGATGTAATAAAAACTTGCACAGAGAATGAGTTCAAAACATCCATATAACAGAAGCCAATGTTTTTTCTTGCATTTGCACAGCAAAACACAAATGGAAATGGGGTCCATTATATTATAAGGTACCCACATGTCATAGCAATTCCCATATTCAAGTAGTATTTTCAATGACCTTTACAATGCTCATATATTATTTTAATAGGAAATAGTAAAACATAATCTATGTTTCTATATTGTAAGTGACTGCAGGTCATTCTGTTATCCAGATCAAAATTTCCAATTTTGAACATAATGAACCACTTATGAACAGTACTCAGCTATGACACCATGTGCATAAATAGCACATACCTTTTTTGCTGTTTTTATAGTCTTTTTTACATTATCGGATATAAAAGAACATCAAATGATGAAAAAACATCTCAAATTCCTCCATTTTTACTTTCAATGTAAAAGCATTTAAAATTCACAATCCACACGTCATATATCCAGCTTTCAATACATGTATGTGTGTGTGTCTGTGTGTGTGTGTGTGTGTGTGTGTGATAAATTTAAGTTACAAGTGTAAGAAAATAACATGTTCAAGTAACACATTGAAAACTGCTAATGATTTTTATTCTAACCTAATATATATATTCATTGAAGTAATTGAAATTAGATCTACTTGTTTAATATTAATGCTACTTGTGATATTATGGTTAGATAAACAGCAAGTATTATAAATATTTATACTGCCTGACATTGAAGAATTTCAAAATTTACAGGCAAAAGGAGAATCTTGATTTGCTTCAAAATAATAACAAACATGTTAGTTTGGTTTTATTTTATTTAATATAAAGTCAACTAGGTTTAAAGAAAATCAATAATTCTTCAAAGAACAAATGTATATATAAATCAAATGGAAATTATCATTTTAATTATCCTTTTTTGGTTCATAACTTGGCATGTGGGGCAAAATCTTAATACTAATGATTATATTAGCCATTCCCTTATAAGGAAAAATTCTGCAATCATTGACTGAGCACCTAATGCTACTTTCAGTTTTGAGAATTTAGACAATCATTGCAGGGAACTGTTCTGGACAAAGTGTTTGTCCCAAGCCTGAAGAAATATATTGAAGTGAAACAAATCAGATATTTTTATCATGTGAGTAATCTATATAAGAAAATATCTGAATGTCTCTGAAATCTGAAGATAGAAACTTTTGGCAATGGCGTATTTAAAAGCAAGAAACAGAATATTAGAGAAGTTTACCTCCAATAAATAAATAAATAAAAAAAGAATAAAATATAAATGCTTGATTTTAAACAAGAAGCAGCCGCCATTTTGTAAGAGTTGATTTTTCAGATTCGTCATTCTTTTTTGTTTATAGAAATCAAGTTAATGAGTTGCTTACAGAAAGATAAAATTGTGTCTATCATTTTTTTCTTTTGATTCAAGGAGAAATATGCAAAAAAAATTTGCAAGAATGTTTGCTTGAATTGGAAGAGTAGAATTCTATTTTGAGAAACAAAAATGACATTGTTTTTCTTTAAGAGAATCTCAAAATATTTTGTTTTTATCACTAATTTGGCTGATCAAAATTGATTAAAGAGGAGGATCAATCCCAGACTGCTTGATCTCCTGATGAAAGCTACCTTGCTTGATTTGACTTTTTCTTATGCAAACAACTTTAAATGTAAACATTTGCCGATTTTCAGGGGAGTTTTTAGTATATAGCAAAAGAAATATGCAAGATAGATTTTGATTGTGGAATACAGATCACAAGAATTATATTTAGAATTATCTTGAAAAATTATTATATTGCTATTTTTAAGAATTTTTATTTTTCCAACAAATTTTTTCATGAATTGTTTATTTTAATTGCTACAACCAGTATTATTAAGCTTTGAAATACTTTCTACTTTTTTACACATCAAAGAAAAGTTTTTAAAATGTTATTATTTTTCTTTAAATTTATAATGATTCCTGAATATGTATAAGGAGTTTTGGTTTGATATTCTTGATAATTTGGAACTTAGAAAAGTTGATCATTAAAGTTAAGCAGCACAAAATTTCTGTCATTTTTAATATTATTTGTCTTAAACATATAGATATATACTGCATGCCAAAAAATGTTCAAATAATTATTATTATCTTTCCAGTATTTCTCAATGTAGAATTGTAACTGGCAAATTGTCATATTTTGTCTCCCAAATACTTATATAAGTTTCTATCAATAAAAACATGATTACTTTGAAGAAGTCCTTTCAAAGGATGAAACATATAACAGGATTCATTTACTCACTTATACACACATTTCAATAATAATAATAAGTGTTTTTTTTTCCTTTTGATCTTGAAGTTTTTAAATTAATGTTGGGAGATCTAAGTATTGAATTAATAAAGACAATATGAAGATAAACATCTCTCCTTCATTTGCTTCATTAAGCAATGTCAAACAAGGGAGATTACTCTGACCCCAGATAAAAGGAACAGAGCAAATGGTTTAGCATTGTGCTTTTTAGAAAGCATGAATTTATTCATTGTAACTATTTACACTATTTACATTGTTCAGAGTGTTCCCATCTTAGTTTCCATATTCATGACATTTTGGCTGTTGTATGCTCTGACCTTCTTCAGGTAATTGGAATTTTGAACTGAACCCTTTATTTTGTCCACTGAGAAGAGGAAGAAGAAATTCAAAGTTGTTTTACAGGAGGATGCTGAGAGTTCCACAGATTAAATTTGAGCAACAAAGAAATTTGAAAGAAAATCGGAATGAAAAGGACATTTATTAAAATCAGAAAGTGATAGTTGAAATTTCTGGAATACATAATAAAAAACAGGACCTGAAGAATTTAACACCAGTGTTATTGAAGTCAAAAGAGGCAAAAGAAAATACTGAGTAATCACCCTTGTGTGTTTGTGAGAATGGATGGCAGATTAGCATCAAAGAGGGATGCTAAAGAGTCAAACATTTTTTTAGTATGACAAGGGATAGGAAGTTACTCTACTCCCTGGACAGACATGGTACATAAAAATATAAGAGACTATATTCACCCTGAAATATTGAATTTCTGTGTTGAAAAGGTTACTGATATACTTTCTGATAATCTTCTTATCCTAGGCGATCATGTTTTGTGTTTTTGTTGTTTCTCCCAGACCCTCATCTGCCATCCACTTGCTCCAGCCCATTAAGTATGTCACACATTGCTTTCTCCTGTCCCTTTTTTCTATGGCCTGTGAGTATCAGATTTTCCAAGCCCTTCTTCCTCATTACATGCCCCAGAAATTTCAGCTGGCTCTTCCTCATGTTAGTATAAGTTTCCTCTTTGTTTCTATTCTCTCTAAAACCTTGTTGTTGCTCACATGTTCAGCCCATGGTACCCCTAGCATCCTTCTAGAGAAGCAAATTTTGGTTACTTTGAATTTCTTCTTCATCTTTGCAGAGATTGTCCAGCATTCACTGCCATAAAGGAGGACAGATATTATATAACAGTTCAGTGCACTTTTCTTTGTTTCCAACAAAACTTTCCTGTCTTGTGATACTCTGCTTCCCAGATATTTAAATTTCTATACCTGTTTGATTTTAGCATTCCCAGCCTGTAAATTGCATTTTGGGATCATCTTTTTGCTGATGACCATGTATTCTGTTTTCTTATAGTTTATACTTAGTCCCTTCTTCTTGCTCTCCTTCACTACTTTCTGTAAGAGGTTTTGTAGTTTCTCTTCCATGTATGCTATCAGCACTGTGTCATCTGCATATATTATGTTTATCAAGTTCATTTTCCTAGCTTCTTAACTTTAGAAATAGTATCCTACAGTTGACTGATTTTACAAGCAACAAAGAGCTGAGTAAACTTCAAAGATCCTTTTAAGATTTCCATAACATTATGCATATCAGTGAAATCATTTTTTATCAACCTAAGAAGGACTATGATGTATTATA